CTTTGGATGTTCTCTCCTATCTTGTTTGATTTTGTCAAGATGAACTATCTTTCAAGAAGAGAGGAAGGGTGATTAAGCTTAAGGGAATGATCGACATTGAAGAAGGTAAATTATAGTAGATTATAATTGCCAAAGTACATAAAACATTGAGAGAAACTATTTGTGGGTCCGTTAGTTAATTTTTCTTCATTATAGCTTGTGAGGAATCTATTGAAATGGAGAATATAGAGATAAAATCCTCAATAAAGAAATATAAAGTTATTTTTGCCAAGCCAAAAGAGCTACCTCTAATAAGGAAATTCGACCATAGAATTTCTTTTGTTTTAGAGGCTAAGTATTAAATATTATACCCTATAAAAGCTCCTTCGTACATAAAGAAAAAATTGAAAATTTGGTTAAGAAAATGCTATAAAATGGTGTCAATTTGTAGTCCATTTGCTTCGTCGATCTTATTGGTTAAGAAGAAAGATAATTCTTAGTGATTCTATATGGACTACAAGTGACTCAATAGCATCGAATCAAAAATAAATTCTTCATTCCATTGATTGATGATCTTCTTAATGAGTTACAGCGATTTTACTTCCTTTCTAAGATTGACTTATGGTCCGACTATCATTAAGTCGGAATGTATGAGGAGGATATCAAAAAGATGACTTTTAGAACTTATTAAGGCCATTATAAATTCAAGGTTATGCCAATTGGATTAACCAATGCACTTATAACCCTTCAAGCTATGATGAATGAAGTTTTGGAACCTTGTTTGAAGAAGTTTGTGCTTGTTTTTTTTTTAATGATATACTAATATACATCATTACCTTAGAACTCTACATTAAATATCTTATGTGAGTGTTGGAAGTTTTGTTCGAACATCAACTGTTTGCTAGGTGGTTTAAGTGGACTTTTTTCGAACTCAAATAGAGTATTTAGGGCATATAATCTTAGGTGCTAATGTAGTAATAGATCCAAAAAAGAATATTACCATTAATAATTTATCAGTTTCATAATTCGTAAAAGAATTGAGAGGATTCATGAAATTGGTTAGATATTATAGGAAATTTATTAAGAATTACAACCTAATCAACAAGCTTTTGATCGAGTTACTAAAGAAAAACAACTTTAGGTGGAAAGACCAAGGCCAGTTAGCCTTTGATAAATTGAAAAGGGTCCTACATGAGGCTCCTATTTTAGCTCTCTCAAATTTTCTAAAGCCTTTTATCTTAGAAACCGACCCTTGTGGCACTAGAATTGAAGTTATACTATCTTAAGATGGTAGGCCATTGACTTCCTTTAGCAAGGCCTTATGTCCTAAACACCTTGGGATGTTTATTTATGAAAGGGAATACCTAGTTATTCTCATATCGATTGAAAAATGGAGGCATTACTTAGAAACTGATAAGTTCATCATCAAGACAAACCATAAGAGTCTCAAATTCTTACTGGAATAGAAAATACATACACTTATATATAGAAAAGGGCTTACTAAGCTATTAGGGTTAAGGTATGATATCCAATACAAGAGAGGGAAAGAGAATATAATGGTTGATTCATTATCTAGAAGGGTACCTAATCTAGAAAAAAACTACTGCTGAAATAAATAAAAGAAGACTTAGTGCTTATTACAGCTATTGTACCTAGAAGGTATGTTGATATTATGGCTTTTTATACTAACAACACTAAGGTGTAGGAGATTATTACTACCAAGTCTATTAATGCTAGTGTTTTTCCTAAGTATAGTTATCAAAATAATATGCTAAGATACAATACTAGGCTATTCATTAGGCAATATCAAAACTTAACAAATAGATTGGTTGAAATTGCCCATAACTCGGTTGTTGGAGGACATGCAAGTATGTAAAACTCTTATAGAAGGCTAAAGAGTGTATTCTATTGGTTATCTATAAAGTAAATGGTGAAGGTCTATGTGGAAGAATGTGAAGTTTGTATGAGGGCTAAGTCATATATCCGAGGCTTGTTGCAACCTTTACCTATACCGGATGGGGCTTGGAAAGACATGTCTATGAATTTTGTAGAAGGGCATCCAAAATCGAAGGAAAAGACACCAATTTGGTCATTATGGATAGATTTACCAAGTATGGTCATGTCTTAACCTTAACTCACCCTTTTTTTCGCAAAAGATGTGGCTAAAAGGTTGGTGGAGCACATCTACAAGCTACACCACTTACCTATAACTATCCTCATTGCCAAAGAAAAAATATTTATAAGTTTATTTTAGGAGTTATTCAAATTCTTAGGCGAGTAAACTATTGATAAGTTTTGCTTATCATCCTCAAACAGATGGCTAAACGAAGAGATTGAATCAATGCTTGGAGACTTATTTGAGGTATATGTGCATGGATTTCATAAAAAATTGGTTTCAATGGCCGTATTTGGCTCGGTGGTGGTATAATACTAGTTACAACTCTATCATTCAAATGACAACCTTCCAAGCCTTGAATGGTTTTCCACCACCTATTAGAGAAATTATTCTTTAAGGCTCATCATCTATTATTGTTGTTACTCGAGTTATTTTAGGAGAAGAGGGCCATGTATTTGTTTCTCAACACACGATTGGCTAGACCTCAACATTGAATGAAATAATTTATTGATAAACGCGAACGTAAAGAGAGTTTATTGTAGGGGGTATGTTATATACATAAAGATTCAACCATATAAGCAATCCAATGTGGCATTTCATAATAATTTTAAGCTGAATCCCGGGTTCTATGACTCGTACACTATTTAACAAAGGATAGGGAATGTAGCCTACAAGTTAAAATTACCTAAAAAGCTCTCATCCATCATGTCTTTCATGTTTCTTTATTAAAGAGAAAGCTTGGTACGAATGTTGTGGTTTCAACTTCCTTACTAGCCATTGATGAGGAGGGACATATCAAGCTTTCCCTAGTCATTGTCTTAGACAGGAAGATCATAAAAAAGAATAATAGCGTAGTGGTTATAAGCTTAATTCGTTAGAGTGGATTACCTAAGAAGGATGCAACTTAGGAAGAATTGGTGACACTAGAACTTTAATTTCCTAATTTTTGTTATGATCCTTAAGGACAAAGAACTTTTCCGGGAAGGGCAATGTTATACACTCTTTTATAATTTCGTTATTAGGATAATAAGGTTTGAGGAGCTATTGATATGGTAGTAGTTAGAAGGAGAATTAGTTATTGTAATTAATTATTGACATGGCTAGATTAGTAGTATAATTGGCCGGGAAAGAGAGGTGAGGATTCATTAAGTTTATTTTAATTATTGTAATAGAGAGACGTATACAATGTCTCTCTCAATTCTTCTTCTTCTTCTTCATTTCATGCAATTGTTAAGGAAACCTTAACATTATGTTTGTAATTGAGAATTCAAGACAACTTTTTTATTTTGTTAAGGTGTCAAAATCACATAAATTAAGGCGAAACATAACATCTTGCCTTCAAAATTCAGTATTATAATCTTGGACACATCGACCATTTTTGACATAGATATTGCAATTTTTCTCTCAAGTCATCCTAACATCAAGTCATTAAAATTGATTTCTTAATGTAGTCGTAAATTTTGTCAATGTTTGAAAAGTAGATTATCAACTTCTAATCCAAGTAGAAAAGCCTCCGACCTTGTGAGTGCATGACCACCAAGTCATAGTCTAGCAAAAGTAATTTTTTTGGAGATCTTTATACAATTTGATGTTGAAATAAACTTCAAATAGGTTTAACCATCCATCAAAGTTTTCAAGATACAATTCACCATTTTATATTGGAATTTCAATACATACCTCCATCTTAAATGCCTCTATCAACTTAGTCTTTAACAACGAGCTATCTTAGAATTTCCTATGCTATTTTTTTTCTTTCAATTCTTCTTTTAATAAATGCATCATGTCATTCGGTTGATTCTCCAAAGTCGACATCCGTTAAGAGAGATTATCATAATTACATTATTCTTCGTTAAGTTTAAACATACCTAACCTTTTTTTTCACCAATTCTAGGATCAAATTAGTGACCTTCTAGCTTGCATACATACTAAAGCGTTGATACCAAAAACTTTGTTTAGAACCTAAGTTCCACTTTCATGTTAGATTTGAAGCTCTCAAATAAAATAAAACAATCTCAATGAACAAAATTATGTTCGCAAGTAGGTAATTGACAACACAACCAAATAATTAAAAAATAAAAACAAAGAGCACAAGAACTTTTAAAGGGGTAATTAAAAGATACAAACTTGAATTCTAATTCAAGATAACTTAATCCTTGGTACTAGTCTCTTAGAGTCCCAAAAGTCACCATGTTTTCTTCTTTTTTGTGTTCTCTCTACTTTTCTCTATGTTTCCTTTAGGTCTACACTAAAAAGAATAAGATATATATATATATGTTAATTTTTTTTTTTGTCAAACCTTAGGGAAAAAAATATGTCCGCACTTATGGAGATGGTCTATTGACAAGTGGCAATGTGATTCCGTAAGTTAGATTTGGGTGTAAGGATAAAAAAAAATTGATGTATGGATTATTTAAAAAAAGAAGTTTTTCTCATATTTGGACCTTGTATTTTTTGAATTTTTTGAAATAAGATTCTTTTTTTTTTTTTTAACTTGATTGAGACTAAGTATTCTTCAAAATTCTTATTTTGTGCCCAATGTTATAGCACCGTCAATCAATGATCGATACATGATATTGTAAAAAAAAAAAAAAATCTCAAAAAAATATCCATCATTGATTGGATATATATATATATATATATATATATATATATATATATATATATATATATATATATATATATAAGGGTCTAAAATAAAAAATTTCAAAGAGTTGAGTCTTAATCAAGAAAAAAAAATCTCAATAAAAAAAATCAAATAGTATAAAATTTAAATATAGGAAAACTGAAAAAAAAAAAAAAAAAGTCTCTCTACTAGTCATTTGGAAGGCATGACTAGTCAGCCATATCCATTGATTTTTTTTTTTTTTAAAGGCTATAGATTAAACTTTCTTTAGTTAAAACAAACATGTTTGGATCTACAAAAAGAGATTTACGATTTGGAAGTGAGGTTGCATGTGAGGAAGCTTTTAGCGACCCGCCTCGAACGTCACAAGATGATACCTCTAAGCATGAAATGTCCTGGTTTGCCATATATATTTAATAACAGACTAATATAAGTGATTAAATCTATTATTTTCACAACTTATTTTTTTATATTATCAATATACCTTTTTTATCAATATTTGTTATTATATTATAGTTAAATATCTAAAATACTCATCAATATTTTATTTTATTTTATTTACTTTCATACACATTTGATTCTTAAATATTTGATATAAAACATATTTAATAAATATTAATAAAAAAATGTATAAAAAAAACAAAAAAACAAAAACAAAAATAACCATTTAATTGTAAATTTAACACCACTCTAATAATAATAATAATAAAATAGAAATAGTAATATTTAACGTTACATACCAAAACCAGACCTCTCAAAGAGATCATCGATCACTGACCCAACATCCTCCTTTTTCCCTCTCTCCCTAAATACTAATAATAATAATAATAAATTAAAAAATGGAAAAAATCGTAATCCAACCGTCAGTAGCGGTGCTAATCTCTTCTGTAATCGCAATCAGAGCTTACAAAAGGAAATCTCTAGACGTATCAGGAGCAATCGCTGGCTTTATTGTCATGACCATTCACTTTGCTATTAGTTATAGATTTGGAGCTATATTGCTTGTCTTCTTTTTCACTTCATCCAAGCTTACCAAGGTTGGAGAAGACAAGAAGAGACGCATCGAAGCCGAGTTCAAGGAGGGTGGACAAAGAAATTGGTATTTTTTTTTTTTTCGTGTATGTTCTAATCGGACTTTGACTTTTAAACTTTTTCGATGAATATAATAAAATTGATGCTTGTTTCTTTTAGGATACAAGTGGTATCTAATAGTGGTATCGCTACAGTTTTGGCATTGGCTATTTGGAGATTGGCAGGATGGGAGGACAAGTGCTTGGATGGAAAAGAATCGGCTCTTATCACATCTCTCATTGGAGGTATTATTGGTCACTATTCATGCTGCAATGGAGACACTTGGTCTTCCGAGCTTGGTGTCCTTAGCGATGCGCAACCTCGATTGATCACGACCTTTAAGGTGAATATCCATCTTCTTTGCCTTTTTTCTTCCTTTTTTACTTTCAAAAAATCAATATTTGGTTTGCTTGTTTGTTTTCTGAGATAATTAATTAATTTTAATATAGTAATTGTTGTTGCTGCATTCAGTTTTCGTTAATTCTCTGTGAAATGCATCATCATCATCATCTACTAATGACCGAGTTCAAGCCTTAGAATAGAGAATTGTGAGTTTCAGAGACTTGGTAGAGGGGAAATGTACTGATTTTCTGAAAAATCACTTCTCAAGGAGTTTAGAAAGGTTTTTTTTTTTTTTTTTTTTTTTTTTTTTTTTTTTTTACAGTTCAATTCGGGATTGGTCCAAATTTTTCTACAAGCCATTAGATTAGGCTAATACTGTCCGCAATAGCTAGATTAAGAATATGGTGGTTTCCTAGTTAATTGCCAAGTTGGTGTGTTTTCTCCGTTTGAAAAAAGCAAAATCAAAATTCGCTGCTTCTTTTTCTCTCAAGCCATTTCTTTTTTCCATCTATCGCCCAGTATCTCTGTATTTTGAATCCATCACTACCACCTGTCCTTGGATTTATCAATATGGAGACCATGTCACTGCCATCCTAATACCAAAATTAGCTGTACAAGAAATGAATTTTATCTTGAATCAAAAGCATTGACATGAATTGAGATGTTTGTTTTGTGATGATTTTTCATGAATCATGAACTATCTAAGAATATATGAGTGCCATTTTCCAAATTAGTTATGGATTGAGTTTGCGAAAGCTTAAAAATATAAAAAATAATGGATGAACAATTCCAAGGAGAAGAGAGTTAAAACGATTTTGCTAAGGTACAACAATGGTTAAGAATTTATTGGAGTTAAAAGAAAAAAGAAAAAGAAAGGACGGTGACATGAGGAAATGGGAACCTGTTATAACACGTTCTCATGACGTGTGTCTATTTTTCAAAGATGCAAATTAGAGACTATAGAATGACCCGTTTAGAAGATATCTTCTGAGAAATTCAACAAATGGAATAAAGAAAAGAGCAACAAGCAAGAGAGTGAAGATGGAGACTACAGAGTGCTTGCTTATTATGCAGCTTGGTTTTCCTCATGGTGATTTCCCTTCACCTGCCTTCATATAAGCTACTCCAAAGCTAGTGACTATAAGCAAGTATCAGCTATTAAGAGCCTGCCTGGCAACAAGCGTTAACTGTATTCACTCTGAAGTTTATTCATGGTCACACAGTTACATCCAAATGTAACCTCCTCCAGTTTTACCAAAACCTAGGAACATGCACTAAAATATTGATAAACCTGATCCCTTTTTTTTTTTTCCCTGCAATCAACATTGAAAATTTGCTTCTGAAATAATCTATAATGACTGGTAGAAATAGTTTGAAGGTTGGTGCATACAAACAACTAGCTGCATCAGACTTCGATTTTTTAGATTTTTTGAAAAGCTAGTGCCTTTTTGGTATTGCTATGTTTTAAAGCACAATTGCTTTTACCTCCTTTTGGTCTAGAAGTAGTGTTTGTTTAACATTGGATGAAACTTTAGAAGGAAACTGCTTTTCTTTTTAATTAAATTTAACCCAAAAAAAAAAAAAAGCAGTTTATTTATGGGAGGTGATATCTGGACTTGCCAACGTTATAACCACTCGTATTATTTTCCCACAAATCGACATTTGTAGCCTTTAAAATATCCTCCTCCCAATCTACCCTCTTCATTTCTCTCTCTTCCTAAACCTCACTTTCAGCATAAGTTCAAAAACAAAATTCCAGCTAATGCCTTTTGAGTTTACAGTCCAAAAACTTTCACTATAGTAAAGCTGCACTTTTTTTACTCCACCCCAATGCACATTTTCTTTCTCACTAGCTCCATCTTTGCTGTTTTCTCCACCAAAATTCTTCTCTCCCTTCCAATCTGAAAAACACCAGACATTATTAGTGTTGGTCTATTTGGATTGCATTTCTTTCGGATGCTTGCAATTTTAATTCAGTGGTTTTGAGACTAAAGAAAAAGTAGAGTGCTAAGTCATTACACTTTAATACATGTGAAGTTTGTATGATATTGAATTTTTCATAATCACAACTTCACATATTTCTACAATTTGGAAAATTTGCTACTTTCTCCCATATGATAAACCAAATCTTTTAAGCAAGTTGTTGGCAATAAATGATCAATGATTGACTACAATTTATTTTCCAAAAAAAAAAAAAAAAGATTTACTACAATATTAATTTGGAAAGTAACTTAATTCTAGGATTGGTGGGTAATGGATATTGCTGCCTTAATAAGGATATAGAGGAAACGATTAGGATCAATGTGCCTGTTCCCAAAAATAACTTGTTTGGCTGGTTTCATGACAGAAGTCAGTTTAGCCTTTACATTGGGAATGAAGGCATTGGAAAAGTTATGGTGGTCTGTGGGGTTTAGGAGGGGAGAGGAACATAGAGAGGTAAACATGGAGGAGGATATTAATGGGGGTAATAGTTGTCAATTTATCAAAAAATAAAGATAGTGAGAGTGTGGATATTTTGTTGGGGAGTGTTGTTATAACCTCTGTTTATTGTGAGGGTTGTTATTTTCTTAAATAAAGATGCAATTTTTTTAAAGCACAACAACCAATTACCAAACATTGCTTTTACTAATACTACTTTTAACTCACGCCATAGCATAGTAACCAAAGCACAACACACCACTACAATACCAAACAGGTCCCTGGTCTATTCAGAAATTTGTTTGACTTACGAATATTAATACCATTTAGGAATCTTATCTTATTTAGGAATGAAAACTAGAATATTAATTGGCAGTTTTCTAAGTATTATTTATGGGAACACCTTTCCTATTCAAACGACACCTATCAGGGCTTTGTGCCTGTAAATGTATCATTTATTCCATAGAAGCAAAAGACTTTGGTAATGAAATTATGAGCGTTCTGGTTTAGTTTGAGGGATGTTAAAATTTCTTGTAAACAAGTAATTTTGCTCATATCAAACCATATCTAAATCTTTTTAGGGACAAAAATCCAAAGTTTTACTTCATCATTGGCAGGTTTGCATTGACGACTTTCTGTTCTAGTTGCCTTTGGTTCCCAAAGTTTTGTGTAGGCTCCCCAATGGTTGCTACATCATTTACCTTATGACTTTTTGTCTTCCTATAAAAGATTTCCTTAGCAGCAGTTCATTCTTTAAGAGTCTCACTTTTTGTTAAGCTTTCCCGCACTCCACATTCACTGTTTAGCTGCTAACTGCATGGACAGTTACCTAAATGTTTCCTAGAAACAATAGATCCCTTTTTTACATTTTGTGGAGAAAAAATTATCAAAAGCTTACTGGTCTGATTCATAATGTATGCTTATTGGACTGTACAACAGTTCATATACCTTGAAAGTCAAATGCAGAGGTAATGGCTAATTTGGTGGTGGGGAGCTTCAAGTATGATGCAAATAACTTAGGATATGTGTGTGACCATGTCGTTTCATGATGCTGGGAATAATGAGACAATGAGAAAACTGGAAGGATCAAAAGCAATGATGTATTAATATACTGTGTAACAATATAAAGGACCGCAAGATTGATGAATAAGCTTGAGTAGGATTAAAGACAGTTAAAGCACACCTTTAACACTCAATTGAAATCCAGCCACTGATGAAAAGAATAAGAAATAGAAGAGAAAAGGGCATACTAGCGGATTGTTTGTAAATGCAATGATAATGGTAGCAACTATATGCAAACAACACTACAGTTTAGGCACACAAAGTTTAGACAAGCGAAAATAATTAGAGGATAATGGTAAATAGAAATTAACGTAGAGGACTTATAGTGGTTCCCTAGCCCTTATGGTACAGTCACTCCCCAAAGTTTGTTGAAATCCACTATCAAAAAGTCTTCTTTGTTACAGTAACGCCTGCTACTGTCCACATTCTGCTAAGGACTTTGCTGAGTTGGGTTCTTTTAAGAAAGCAATTGCCAGGTAAGATGCTGACTTTGCCGGGCCCTCTGTTCTAGTTGCCACCCTTCCTCCAAGACTTGAATCAAGAAACCCCGATAGCATCCTAACTTGATTGTGCTAACTACAAGATATTTTACAGGTTAAAGTACTTAACTAAGCATCTTTAACAAGGTTACACACTTATCTTTTACTTGTATATAGCTTTGATGAAAAAGAATATATCTCATAGTGGTTTTGCCTCCCTGCTTAATGACAATGGTAAGAGCTATTTATAGATGGCTTAAGAGAAAATTTGTTGTTTCTAATTCGCTAATCAAGGCTTTTGGTTCCTTTGACTTTCGGGAGATTATATATATATATATATATATATATTTTTCTCTGAGTATCCACAGGCCAACATGCACGTCAATTGAGACCAAGTCCTTTTCCGGACGATCTTAATGGTGCACCTCTCACATGGGCTTGTGCATTCAGAAGAATTTTTCTTTTGGTGTTGGTAAGGTTTGAACCCAGAAAGTCAAAGAAGGAAGCAAACCTTCTTAACCACTAGGCCAACCCTTTAGGGTTCTGGGAGACTACATATGATAACTCACTTAAATGATTTAGGCAAAAACATAACCTCCTTAATTGCATGGTTCCTACTTAATAAAGATCATGCTGATTTTATTTTGACCTTTTAATGGGATGGGATTCTTTGAAGCTGCCATAATGGGATCAGAAACGTTATTGTTTTTTAAATTATTTATTTATTTTTTCTTTAACTATATAATTTTTTAAATATTAATTAAGGGCATTTTGAGGGTCCAAGTGAGTTTCTATTGAATCTTCCAACTTTTGGATGGTTTTTGTAGTTTTTTGTGTTATTCAAGGAGGTTATTGTAATTTACCTAATTTAATGTCGTGATAAATACAAAATCAATTAATCCTGAAAGTAAATGAATAATATAGGGAATGATAGTGTAATACTGTTAGCTGGAGGAGGAATCAACCTTGAATAAATCTCCTAAAGTTAGGGTCATTGCAATTTACATGATTTGTGTTGGATGAGATAGCGTAAAGTGAGTTAAAAAATCGTAGAACGCAACTAAAATGTAGAAAAGTAAAAAAATAGAGGAAATGTCCATTTAGATCCTAACCTATATACCCATTTTATGTGAGTCCTAAATCTATAAATTTTATGAATTTAGTCCCAAACATTTTAGATAACTGTCATTAGGTCCTTCCCGTTGAAGTTCATCAACATTTTTTTCCAAATTTTCTTTAAAATAATGTCGTTTTATATCATAAAAATATGCATATTAGATGGATTATACTAAAAAATTGACAAAAGGACCCCATTGAGAAATGTGGGAAATGTTTGGGACCGACCTAATTGATAAAAGTTATAGATGTGGGACCTAATTTACCATAAGGCACATATACTAGGGACTAAATTGAGTTTTATTAAAAAAAAAATTAAGTTAAGGTCACAGAGAAGGGGAAGAAAGTGGGCAAGGAGCGGTTTGTTTTGGTGTAAGGGTTTCTTACCATTTATAATTTAATTAATACCAAGTTGGCCATTACAATATATAAAACAATGAGGGTATTTTTGTAGAATTAAATATGACAAAGATTGTGCTTTTATATATATTTAAAGAAATGCTTTGTTCGAGTAAAAATAGTACAAGTAACATTGATGTTTGAGATATTTTGCATCTTCATATAATATGCAGACTGATGGAATTGACTTTGTAAATCTGGGAGATTGTGGATCCTGATCTGGTTCCTATATATGATTATAGCCTGTTCGGAGGGGTACAAATGGTGGTGTCACGTTAGCAGGACTTCTAGCAGCTGCAGCAGCAGGAAGTGTTATTGGGCTTGCATTCGTCCTCTTGGGACTTTTTACGACGAAATGTGTGTTTGATGTAGCTCTGAAGCAGCTCTTAGTTATACCTGTTGCTGCACTGGCAGGATTATGTGGGAGTCTGATAGACTCTCTGTTGGGAGCTACATTGCAATTCAGTGGATTCTGCACTGTTCGTAACAAAGTAAGCTGCACATTCTACTGTTTATCAACTCATCCCTTTGGTATTGGCACAATGACGCCATAGCCATGTTTCGTATGTGCAGACTGATGTACTTGTGCCGTTATCACTTTGTAGGTTGTTGGCAAATCTGGACCAACAGTGAAGAAGATTTCAGGACTCAGCATCCTTGACAACAATGCTGTGAACCTTGTTTCTGTCCTGTTGACCACATTGCTGACTTCCATTGGCTGCTCATACATTTTCTGAACAATTTCGAGATTGCCTGCATCAAATTCTGTAGTCGCAACTGAATTATGTACCAATTATATCCACTTCGTGAAAGTTTTTTAATCCTGATACGTACCTTTGATGAATGGAGACTGGTGTTTTACATCTAGTGTTTTACAGTATTATGGATAAAAGGAATAAGTTGGTGAGACGAGACAAGGCAATGCTTTTTCATATGCTTATTCAGTTATTGTGAAGGCAATAGGGAATGGGAGTCAATTCCATCTTTGTGAAATCATTGTTAATCTCAACAATAAAAACAGCAATTGTTAGCATGAACAATGATCAAGAACTAAAGATCGTCTTAAGTATGGTAAAACAACCTAGATGGGATTTCAGATGCGAGAGCCAAGATATTGAAGAGGGATGGTTTTATTAATTAACAAACGAACAAAGGAAGTTCCTTTATTAAACTAATGCTAAAAGCATGAGATCAGATGACAATGAATGATCTTTTCGATCTAATTGCAGCCTCAGCAGAGAACATCTAAGCAACACTCGCAGGTCTCGAAGCAGCAACAGCAGCAACAAAACGCGTATAAGCTGCACTTGATAGACAAAAGACAAAAAGAATCATATATACCTGGCTGTTAATGGTCATTTCGAGACTAAAGTCATGAATGTATTTATTAGTCCACTGCTAGTGTGAGAACTATAGAAGCGAAATTGACCAAAAGCGCCTTTAACCTATCAGCCTTTTATATATATATATATATATACACCGAAAGGGTCAAACGCAGAATTCTTTTAACCAAGTTCATTTGAAACCCAGTCCATTGGCTAATCTTTTTCTAACAATATATCATCCTCATCCTTGAGTTTTATAAGAATTATTAGTACTAATAGTCTAGTAGTATTATGTTTTTTTTTTTTTTTGGTTATACAAGCGATGTCCGAATTCTTGGAAAAGCAGAAGATACTAATCCCAATTGAAAGTACTAAGTTTTCATCTTAATTAGCTCACTTGACTGAATGAATCGGCTAGAGTACTCTACCGATATATCTATTGGTATATTTATTTTACGTGAGACATAAAAAATAATATTAAATACTTTTTTTAAAATAAAAAACAATAAGAAAAAGATCTAAGAATACATATAGATCGTTGAATCATGATTTTAAAAAACATAAATATACATATATAGTTCTGTAATGAAGAATATCTTCGTGTCATTTTGGTCCCAACAGATTATCCAAGCCTGTTATTGAGCATCGAAGGGAAGAAGTTATGTGGCCGATTGCCGGGACACCAATAATTAAGTTTGAATACGGACAAATGTGAAAAGGAGGATTTGTTCATGACTAATAATTAATCTGCTATAATTAAAGGGAGGCACAAATTGGCATGTATGGTGGTGGCATGGCCAACAATACGAAAGTCATGACGTTTCTTTCAGTCATGATGTTCCCGGTGATGTAAAGCCACGTATGTAGTCGTTTAACAACAAATCTGGTGATTAATACACAGGATATAAACACTATTTTCAAAGCAAACCAGTACTCAAGTAATAGACCTTTTTTCACCTTATTGCTGAGACAATGGGCTGCATATAAACCATACGTCGTCAGGATGCCGTCTATGAGACCCACCAAAAGTTTATTTCGGTGCAGCGCAATAATTCATGCAATTTTGTCGGTGGAAAACATTTTCTCTTCTTAGTTCATGAGATCAAAGGTTTATTTATTATTATTTATTATTATTATTATTATTATTATTATTTTAAAGTAGAGCCGTAATAGATTGATAGGAGTTTTGACTCGAATTTATTCAAATCTGATTTGCTTTTTTTTTTTTTTAATTTCAACCCGATTGTGAATTGACTGTAATTTATTTATTAATTAAACAGATGATCCGATTGGATAATAAATAATAAGAAATTAAAAATAATATTATTTTTATAAATATGATATTATCAAAATATTAAAAATTTTAAATTTGAGAAAAAATATATATAAATATGAGACTTGGTTGAAATTGAGGGTTTATTTAAATTTATTACATTTCCACTCTTTATGCATTAACTAATTATAAAAATTATTGTTTGTATTTATTTTTTAAGAGTTAGTTGAAATTTTAGCTCATCAAATTGTAAATTTTTACTAATTAAATGTATTGTTTGAAAATTTAAATCGTAATTTTTTTCTAATTAAATGTTTTCATTAGTTTTTTTTTATCAATTTTTTTCTTATTATATACACATGTGGCCCGTTAATGAGATCGGTTTTTACACATGTTAATGATGTGACAACCACATGTTAAAAAAAAGCATGGAAAGTGGAAAAAAAGAAGAAGAAAACTTAAGAAAACATATCTTCCCTCTCACTGCCAGCCCAATTCTCCTTCTCCTTCCTCAGTCTCTCATCCAAATCCCAAACAGCCCACATAAAAAAATGCAATGCCATCTCGACCACCAACTGGCCACCACTGCCAGTCTACCCTTCAATTTCCATCTCTAGTACATAATTTTTACCTGCACCCAAGACCTGAAGACTGAAACATTAAAGCACACACCGCAAAAAAAAATTACCACAGACAAACAAATGTCACTGTAAAATGGTACGATATTTTGAAAGAATAGATACGTAATACATTAGAGGTTCTTGCACATAATTTGTTTCAAAAATCTAAAACATTAAAGTCACTAAACGGCGCCAAAGAACGTGAGTTGTCTTCCTTGCACTCTGGCTACAATTACTCATGATAGCAAATGGAAGGAACTACCAAACTGGCTGCTCCCAAACAAAATGAACGGCTTGTCTCTATCATACACCTAGCCCATTTTTGTTTTATAATTCATATCATCATCAATGAGTTTCGTTAGTGTCATTAGTAGTACTATGTTTTCCTCTTAATTTGATCATTTGACTTAAGTAGATTGATCCGCTACAGTACTCTATTTGTATGTACATTTTATGTAGGATATAAAAATAATGCTAATTACTAAAAAAAAAAAAAAAAAAAACCCTTTAATTAGCTTACCCAATTCCAAGTTTAATTGCGAGTTTTTTAACTACAACATCTTAAATAGATACCATTGGAGTTTGGAATTACAGCAGCTGCCGGAAGCAAACTTGCCCTCCAATGAATCGTCTTAAGATATTTAAATTGTATTTATTTCAATTATTAGACTCGAAAAAACTTATCATTATTATTTATTATCACTATCTTCATGTGTCACGATTGAATAATTAGGCCTGCTGCCTTCCTTAAATGTGAGTCATTTCTTAGACTTCTTTTTGAATTGAATCCTAATTTCCCTTCACCCGATATATATATATATATATATATATGATTCATTAAATCATGATTTTAAAGTAGAACTCAATTGTAGATTAAATTAATTTAATGTATAATTAATTAATTAATTATGTTAATTTTATTTGAATGATTGAATTAAAACTTTATTTATATTAAAACTTAGAAGTTTGTTGTTATTTTAAATTTAATTCGGATAAAATTAGAATTAATTAAGTTAATTAGATTTATATTTAATTAACTAATTCGGTTAATTTTGTTTAATCGGTTGAATTAAAACTTTATTTATATTAGAAATGTTAATCAATTATTGTTTTAAATATAATTTCGCTAGAATTAGAATTAATTAAGTTAATTTGATTTATATTTAATTAATTACTTAGGTTAATTTTTTTTAATTGATTGAATTAAAACTTTATTTATATTAGAATTGTTAATTAATTGTTATTTTAAACTTAATTTGGTTAGAATTAGAGTTAATTTAATTTATAATTAAATAATTAATTAGGTTAATTTTATTTAATTTTTTGAATTAAAACTTTATTTATATTAGAAATTGTTAATTTATTATTATTTTAAACTTAATTAGGTTAGGATTAGAGTTAATTATTTTAATTATTTCGTATATAATTCAATTATTGAAGTGTGTCGAGTTACGCTTGGTGTATTGAACTTGAAGGGTTGGAGACCCTCGACAATTGAGGAGAAATAAAATTGATTCGATACTCGTGGATGAAGTCGAGATGATGAGTCCGAGATTTAATTTCGATGGAGTATCCGAGATAATTATTGGTCTCGGTATGTACAAATTGATTGTTGATTGATTTAGTTTGTTATTTGTGTGACCATTTGGAGTATTTGTTAATTGAAAAAAAGTGCAATTTACAAGAGAGATTCTATCAAAATTTTATTAAATGTTTAAAAAAATTATTAATTAAATAATTTTTTTGATGTTTGTTGCGCATTTGGATGTGTTGAATTTTTTTTATTCATAATAATTTATAATATATTTTCTCTCCAATTGTTATTCATTTGTTAAATCGTTTTAGGTGTTGTTCTTGAGTGATGCCTCGTGAATTGGACGAGATCTAGATATTAGTGGTTGTGGCTTTGATGTAGATCGTGCGACTAATAATGACGAGTGTACATAGACATGGCATTGCTAGTCCAACTATCCAGGTGTTGCGGACTTGATAGTGGCGTCGACACATCCGCATCCCCTACAGTAGTGCCTTTGCTAGTGGTGCCTCCATCTGCGGATGATCCCATTATGACTTCTTCAAATCCAAGAAGTTCTACTAGATATGATGTGGACGAATCATTTGGGTTATGAATAACTCGGTAAGTAATATGTTTTAAATACGATAATTAATTTTATATTTGTATATATTATATTAGAATCATTAATTCACTTATTTATTTGTTTTGTTCGACAATTTTGTTCCATCGCTCCATAAAAATTACCATAATTTTCAAGGAGCGATTGGACATTGTTGGCTCTACATGAAAGTCTATCTTTATGGAGATGAAAGACTTCTACTCGTAATGAGTTTATGATAATATATTAATTATTTTCTTATATTTTATTTAAAGTGTTAATTTAACATGAAAAGTACTAATATTGTTTTTTTCTTCATGTAGAAGTACTTTTTATGGGATGCGATTGTTGATGCATCGATTAAAGATGTGTGGGAGGGTGACATGGAGGTGATACAACGATATGTTTAACAAGTCGAAGCATAAGAATAACAAACTTGTATTTGTTAGACGAAGGTGTGGGATGCATGGCACGGGAATTGAGCCACTCCCGAGTATCAAGTCTAATATCAACAAGCGTGTCGAAATCATATGCTAGAGACAGGTGGTGTTGGTGCTTGCCTATTCAAACATACTAAAGGGTCTATCTCTTTGATTGAGCATGCAAAGCGTTTGATAAATACTATATTATCTACTCGTATTATAAATTAATTTTTGCATTTATTTCATCTTTTTTTAACATAATAAATTGGATCATAACTCAAATTCTTATGAGTTGTTTGTGACCACTCACAAACGAAAGAATGGGCTATTCGTCAACGAGCGGTTACGATACGATAATGGTAAGACATTATATATTTTTTAAAAATATATGTACATTTACCAATATAATCTAACAAATATATTTATGGATAAATATTGTTATTATTTCAATAACTTAGGAGCATGTGCGGTTAATGCAAGAAGCAACTACTAATGAGTGGCGTAAGGGTGATGCATCGTCCCAAGATATTGACATGTTTAAGATATATGTGGATCCTTTCGAAGGGGTGAAGAAGAACGAGTGTATAGCATCAAAATTTATACGTCCTAGTGTTACTCATGTTATGACACTATCTCTTCCTCTCGCCACTTTATAGTATCCCGGTGGTAATATCCAGGAAGTTTCTACTCAATACGAAGATAGGATCAATGAGATAAAGGATACCATCTAGCAAGAGGCTAGTCAAGTTAACGACATGTAGACTTAGTTGTAGAGAGTTATAGGGTTGTTAGAGAACCTATAGTAGCCTCTCGTCCCTCCTACTAACCTTCCCACATCCCGAGTTGTCGGTTGTTCATTTTAACATCTAGTAACTAATAAATGATGTAGCAGATGGTGATAACAAGGACTAAATTTCTTGTTTTTTAAACTTTTTTAAGTATTTTTATACATCTTAACGTATTTATATATTTATTTTATTTTAATTTTATTAAATAATATATTATATTTTAATAAAATATTATTTATATTTGTTTGTTGTTACAATTACCAATAAACGGCTATTGATTTTGTTTTCAAAAAAATTCACAATGAGATAAATAGTAATTAGCGACGGATACATATACGAGTTGTTAAATAGTGATAGATTAGCGATAGAATTGCGAGAATATTAGTGACTATAATTTAGCAATAGCTCATTCGAGTTGCTATCTAGTAATGAATGTAAGTGGAAATAGCGACGGATATGAGACATCATGAACGACCGATTTAGATCGATTTAGTGAAAGAAATTCAACTATATAGTGATGAAATATTCATAACCGATTAGTGATGGAACAAAAATTCAGTCGCTAAAAAAATATTCACCACCATATTAGTGACGAAATACTTATTGTCTCTAATACATCTCTAATTGAATATAGCTATAGATTTTTTCCAAATAGTGGTGAAAAAATTCATCGCTATTTAGCAAAATTCGGCAATGTAGATTTGGTTTCTTTACTTAAGGTGTTGAGGCGAATGGCTTTGAAACCAAAGCAATGGAAACTGCAAGTCCAAATGTTCATTAAGAAGGTAATTTTATTCTTAGTAATTAATTTTATAGCATGTCTAGGTATTTTTTTTTTTTTTCGGTTTTGTTATAATTCATGTACAATTTAGTTGTTAACAAATGATCTCAGAAAGTATGGAGTTGTAGATGGATGAATAGGAAGTTTCTTTTGCACAAATGAGGTGCGAGAAAATATTGATGGGCTCCATCCATGGCACCCTTAATCAGAGATTTATACTTTTAGTGCACTCCATTCATACATATGTCTTCATGTTAGTATGTTCGTTATTTCTTTTCTTAGTTTCTGTAATTGATTTTATTTCCTTAATATGCAAAAGCAATCAACACATGTTTTCGTGTTAGTATGTTCATTGTTTTCAACCTTCTGATTGCTTTTGCTCACTTCTTAAAAACAGCTATTGGTTTTTCTTAACATAAGCTTGCTTTCTAGTGGATCCCATCCTTCTCCCACTTGCTTTTATAAGTAAGTTGTCTAGAGCTGAATGATAATGTATAAAGCATCCTTTTGCTATCCTTGATTCCCATAAGCTATGTTCCAACTCATAATCACAAATATTAATATCACATATTTGTACAACACGAAGTCCCAGCTTCATCATGCAGTATCCTAGCTCCCTAAGGGTATCTTCAATATTTTCAAATTCGTTTTCCTCGGAGACTATCCTTTCTTCATCATCTAGATGAGCCGGTTCTAAATTCGAACTACAATGGATTCCATTATTCGATATTTCAAGAGCGGATTCTAGAGCTTGTTTTATCTAGGATTTGATCTGCTTGTAAAAGATCTACTTTTTGGATTTGATATTATCAGAAATTTTAAAAATTCAAGAAACTAAAGTCCAGTATGTGTTTGCATATGGAATGACTATTTTTATATCTTAAAATAAGTCAATTATATTTATTTTATTCAAGCAAGTTTTCAATTTATCATCTGATAAATTTTTCAATACCACTTAAAAATTATAAATTAATTCCTTTCGTTTTTAAAAAAAAAAAAAGAAAAAAAGCAAAATTATGAAAAAATATTGATGAGAAGAGGATACATCTTATAAAATAAAAAAATAAATTAATTATGATCAACATTAATTAAAAAGATTAAATAATTAAGTTTTAAAATCAAATGCATTAATTAATTCATTTCTCAAAAAGAGATGGATTAATTTATAATTTGCTCCTCAAAAATATCACATTATTTGCATTTTTTTTTAACAAAAAAGTTTCTTTTTCTCAACTCCATGCTTGTGAAATCAATCACCCGGGTCACGGGTGAAGGAAAAAAAAAAAAAAAAAATCAAATCAGCCAACTTAAAGAAAAAAACACATCATCGTCCATTATCTTCATCTTTGCGGCCTCGTATTTCCTCTCTTCCTCCATGCAATTTTTTCCATAAATCAGATCGGTAGTTTCGGCTTTCCTGGGCAACGATGAGAAACCTTGAGCGCAAAGAAGAAAAAGATAAACTTAAATTAGATCTCCCTATCAAATACCATGAGAAAGAATAATATACCCTTACACTTCTCATGATTAGATTAACCCACTGAGAATGGAAACCCGTCTTTATCTTCACCAACTCTTGAAAATCCCGCTCCAATGTAACATGCTTTACCCATGTCGAGCTTGGAAGCCACATAATCCATTCTTCCCCATCTACAATTCTTCGTCTAGTGCATGACTTCAAATGAAATAAGTATATTATCTGCAATCAAACGCCCACATAACCCAATTTTTTCACCTTTATGGAGAAATCTAGACCTTTTTTTAAAAAAAAAAAAATCAACCTTCCTTCAAGGAATAATGATGACATCAACCCAACCAAAGCTACACATATGGGCATGAAAGACTTGCTTGCTCTTGCAGCAGAAGTTAACTGAATTAAAAGGCCAAGGTGTTGTTGAAGACACATCTTCTTAGTGACTGGCCAAGCCTTTTATGTTTGTAGAAGAGCTGAGCAAGTACGTGGAAAATTGTGATTAGTTATTGACTACAATCCCCTGAATGCTTTTCTAGGCAGAAGATGTTGAGTTTCCACTTTCAAAAAAGGGAAGGTTCCTTACAAAAATTTCCAAGTGCCACGATATTCTCAAAATTTTAATTTGACGTAGAATTTTGGCAACTGGGGATCCATCCAATTAAAAGATACAAAACAGTGTTCTGCATTCCTAATCATCATTATCAGCGAACAGTCATACCATTTGGACTAATGAATGCTCCTTCAGAATTTCAAAAGCCCATGATCAGAATTTTTGGATCGATTCTCAGTTGTCATCTACGTTGATGATATTCTTACGTTCTCCTCTTCTCCTGTAGAACATGCAATCCTACTTTATCAGTTTCTTTCTTTTGGTCTAGAAATATGGTCCCATGCTATCTCAGAAAAAGCGACGTGTTGCTGAATCCTCCATTGATTTCCGAGGGATCACTTTGTATAATGGGGAAATCACTCTTCAACCCCACATTGCCTCAAAGCTCAAAGATTTCTCAGACTCTTATCTCCCAAAGAAGTTCAACAATTCTTATGAGTGGTCAATGTATGGTAAATTTTGTTTCCAAAACTACCCATTATGAAAATTCCCTCTCTATTTTGCTTAAGATGCACTCACCTTTCAAAGAAATTCCGGCAGTTAAATAAGGCATCAAAAAGTTTGATTTCCACCTTTGTGGTCATCATTTCCTCATTAAGATGGACATGCCCAATTTTCTAAAACTGCTAAAAACCTAACAGAAGGTCATCCCTTACCCACAGCTTCTTCATTGGAAATAGTGGTTTGACCAATACAAGTTTGATGTTGTCCATATCAAAGCAAAACACAACCGCCTCCAAGATCCCTTCCTGACCATAAAAAGCAAGTCTATAGATTCTCCCATTCTTTTGTTTTGACCCAATTCCATAATCCAAAACTTTGATATTGATGCCAAAGTCCTTGTCATTGAAAAGTTCTTAATTACTATCCTATTTCCTCTCCAGAATCCACCAAATGCACGCAATCATAATCAGGACACAAGACCATTTTGGTACATCATTTTGCCCATTGATCATTCATCTTGCTTGTCCATTTTTTGAAAATGTTTTCCATAAGTCACCTCTATGGATTCGTTCCTCTTGAACACACACATATATATAGACACACACACCATATTGGTTGTGTCTTGGAGAAAGCAAGACTTCTAGATCGATATAACCGATCTTCGAAACTCTATCCTTTTTTTCTTATCTAAATGATTAGAGAAATTTGATGCATTTGAAAATTTGCAAAGAATTCTTAAGCATCCAAAAATTACATCTTTATCACATTCAAAATTCCTTGGAACTTACTTTTTCAACTTCCGGATGGAAGTATTCCATTCTCTAGGACTCCAAACTATGAAATCCAAGCATCTTACAACTACACCTTTGCCAAAACTCCATGGAAAGAATACCGCAGTAGTGGCCTTCGGATTAATTGGTTGCCCATTTTGTGAAGGATTAGTGACAAATACTTACGCTTGTCGCTAAAAAGCGATAGACTAACGACAAGATCATGTATATCATTAGTCCGAATCCCTAATTTAACCCCTCTTTCTCTTCTTCTTCTCCCATTTCTTCTTCTTCAAGCTTCTCCTCTCTAGTCGTCGGCTCCTCCCCACCCAAAATCGTCGGATAACTTCACTCCTTCACTCCCCATCAATCCACCCCACTTCAAACTCTTTCTTCCTAAAAAAACCTCGTTTTTCCTTCCTTCTCTTCAAATCCAAATTAGGTAAGTTCTATCTCTCTTTTTTTCTTAAAATTTAGTTATTTTCATAATTATTAGGTTAATTTTAAATTTAATTGGTTGATTTATAATTTTGTATAGTTTTAATTTATGACATCTCCGTATTACAAGATCTAGCATCTTCATAAAAAAAAATCTCTTTGTGGAATAGAATTGTTCCAATGATATTGGGCATAAAAGGTGACTTCACTTTTCTACATAGTCGGTTGGAAAGATTGGTTAGACTCTAAAAAATGTGGGTACGAGATGTAATGGAATGGAATGGAATGTTCCATTACATTCAATTGTTTTGTTGCAATACTTTTAGTAAGGTAATGTAGGCTTTCACAAAGTTTTATTTTAGTGCTTGTAACTTTTATTGAAAAACTTTTAAACCTTATATTTTATTTTTATTTACAAACCTATCCTTAATTGAGTTTTTTTGCCCTTATACTTTATAAAATTACAATTCAATCTTTATGATGAAGGCATTTTGCAATCAATTTCCTATAACCTTACTTTTTATCATGTAATGGTTCATTATGAAGCCTTTTTAAAATGTAATGTTTGTAATATAATATGTCATTATAATTGTAATGATCTATTACATTATATATATAGTTCATTATGTTAATCAAACATATTGTTAACATCTAATTTTTATCCCACCTAATTTTTAAAATTTTTGTAAGTTAAAAGAAGATTCAAAAAAGAGAGAAGAAAAGAAGAGAAAAGAGAATAAATAATAATAATAATAATAATAATAATAATAATTTAGAGGTTCAATTAAAAAGATGTGAGAAATTAGGACTAAAGAAAATCCAATCGGAGACTTAATTGGAAAGGATTGAAATTTGAAAGCCTTAATTGAAGGTAAAAGAGGGCACAATTGAAGGAAATTAGAAGAAAAAGGCCCGAGTAATTTCAATGAGGGAGATAATTGAAAGAAAATAAAAAAGATTTGTACTCGAAATTGAAAAAGACAAAGGAATCAAGGACTAAAATTGAATTTTACCTAAGCCCAAATTAGTCCCTCTATAAATACCTTTTCCCTTAATTTTTTAAATGAACCACTCGTTCATTTATCTTTTATAAAAAAGAAAACCTAACCAGTTGAACCTTCCTCCCTACTAACCACTACCCGATGGTGCTACCGACCATCACCTCATCCCGTCGTCTTTCCTCCATTAGAAACCTCACACCAACAAACCTCAACCACTATTAGAACTAGCCATCATCACCTATCCTCTACTAAAACCCATAATATTCTAACCACTCACAACCATTCGAGCACCACCCTCATTACCCAACCATAATTGCACGACCAAAACAACCACCCAATCTAGCTTCGAGACACCTCCTTAAGCTAAATCGAGATGCATAGACTCCTCGACACTATAACCCTTATAGTCGTTCACTCTCTCTTCCTCTCCAGTCACTGCAGTAGCTCAACAACTATAAGCTACAACTTTAATAGATCCACAATCGTAAGCTACTGCTCCAATGAACTCTTCAAAGCCACGAGTCATTGTCATTCCTTAGTCCTTTATAGCCGTAAGGCACCATCATTTTAGTAGTAGCTCATTGCTACAAACCACCTTTCCACCAGCCCCTCTAACTTTCCAACCATATTCCAATAACTTCTTTATCCAACTATGACTCCAACGGTCCATTCCAACCTTGGCAACCACTCTTTATTGAGATAACAATTTCCACAACTACATGTAGTAGCATCCAAAGTGGCGAGAATGCCATTCGGAATAATAGTGGGACCCATAACCATATCGCAAGCTTCCCTCTTTAGCTAATCGAATAATTGGTCTTTATTAGGGTTGAAGAAAGTAAAACCAAACCAAAAAGGGTTGGAGACCTTGAGTATTTTGAGAAGAAATAAGTTCGATATTTACTACTCTATGATGGAGTCGAAAGAACTTGAAATGGGTTTCTCTTCCAATTGTTTATCCAGTGCAAGTGTTGGTCTCAATGTAGGCAATGATATGTTTGATTGTTTTTTTGTTCTAAAAATTTAAATGTAAATTCTTAAGTTATTATATGATATGTGTTATGACTACGGTGGTAAAGGACTCGTCATTTTATTTTAATGATTTATGTGACTCGCAATCACAAAGGAGTTGCCATTTTATTTATATGATTTACGATATAAATGTAGTCGCAAGGGACTCATCATTTGTCATTTTATTTGAATAATTTATGATATGGTTACGATCACAGAGGACTCGAGCATTTGCATGATTTATGATCTAGCTATAATCGTAAGAGATTTGCCATTTTATTTAAATGATTTATGATATGGTTATAGTAGCAAAAGACTCATCATTTTTATTTTATTTCAATAATCTATGATATGGTTATAATCACAAAGGACTCGCCATTTTATTTGAATGATTTGTGATATGGTTGTAGTCATAATAGACTCCTCATTTTTATTTTATTTTAATAATTTATGATATGGCAATAGTCGTAGGAGGCTCATCATTTTATTTTAATGAGTTATGATATAGATGCAGTCATAAGAGACTCGTCATTTCGTTTGATTTTAATGATTTATGATATGGTTATAGTAGTAAGAGACTCATCATTTTATCCGAATAACCGCGACCATAAGGGGTTTACCATTTTGTTTGATTTTAATGATTGGTGATATGACTGTAATTGTAAGGGACAAGCCTTTTTATGATGATTTGAATTATTTGTGATCTATCTTTAGTCACAAGAGACTCGCCATTTATTTAAGCTAGCAGTAATCTTTTAAGTCGAATTTGAGGCCTTTCAATGAGTCGAAGGAGGTCGCCTCGGAGATGGGTTTTAGAGTAGCCATCAAGCCCTAACTCGACGTTAGTTAATGATCAATGGTACCAACAAACTATTTAAATGTTGGGGACTCCCGACTACCGATGAAAAATCGAGGTTTAAATAGAAGTATGGCAATTTAGCCATATTAATAGAGATACCAATCCAAAAGCCTATGTTGAAAGCTCTCATTCTTTGTACCTCTTGTATCATTGCTTCATTAGTAAGGACATTAACATGACTCCTACTATAGAGGAATATCATTAATTACTTTAAGTATGGAATCCTCTATGTCAAGTTTACCTTCACCGTTGACATGATGAAGTGGTTAGAAGTGTGTAAGATTGGCTTGGTGAAGACATGATTCGAGCACGAGTTAAAGGGGCCATTGATGGATGGTTCCATAAAGCATTACTTGATATGTTCACATTACTTGATATGTTCAATCAAAGCTTGAAAGATACCAATGCCAACTTAAAGAAATTCTAATTTTTGGTCTTATGCATCTTTGGTTTGGTTATATTTTCATCTACTACTCGGGGTGATCAGTCTAGATGCCATTAATATCTTTGTTGAAATAGAGAAAAAATTAATTAATCCTACTCGCCATTCTTCTTGTTGAAACCATCATATCATTAAATCACTATCGAAGAATTGGTACAGGTGGAATGAGGTTTTATATGTAGTTATTGTATATGTGGATGATCATAAATCAATATTCAACTCTATGAGATTAAAGGACCAAAAACTTTTAAAAGAGTTTAAGACCTCATTATGGGAGAATCACACCGAACAACAATAGACTTTCTTATTGCTTAAACTACCTAATGCCTTTTTCCTATGGAAAACTATATAGATGAATCAAATCTCATATTTAGCTCACCGTGGGACATTTTTCGAGTCCCTTTTGTTTGGATCAATTAGGTATATTATCTATATACCTAGCATGTTGTCTAAATAACTAGGCTTCGAGCAATGTATTCCAAGAATAATGAGCTTAGTTGACTTTAAAAGAATCTCAAAAAAGGATGTTTTACCTGCATTCCTAAAACCCTTCAAAAAAGACTAGCTACATGAAATAACGAGTGGTCGGATAGATGGTCGAAAGAGGGCCACAACTAAGGCCTATCCATCGGGGTAAACTATAAGGGTGAAAGGTCACGGACATCAAACAAACCAAGCTTAATGTGGATGAGTCCCATCATCTAGTATACCTATTAATCAAGAAATCATACTTCCTTTTAAGATTAAGAATCCTCAAGTGTCATTTGAAAGTAGGTCAATTAATTCCAAAGAGAAGAAAAGAAGGGCATAAATTTAGTCAAAAAAAGTTCCTTTAGAAGATGTTACCATGGAGAAAAAACTTGACCAAGTAAGAGTTGAGAAAAAAGAAGTCTGGTTTATAACAAAGCTGAATAGAAGAAGAAAAAAGAGGAAGACGAGGGTAAAATGAAAAGTCTAGAAGAAGAATTAGAAATTTGGCAAGATATAGTAGTCGAATATGAATATTGAAAATCATTATGCCATAGAATCCAATCAAAATTATCCTTGAAGTCCACCGATGTCAACAACTTATAATTGTAGCGTGAATAAGGTAATTGTGAGATAGACATTTTAAAACATAGAAATGGAAGAGCTTTATTAAGATAAGATTGATTTGAAATCTCTCTTGAGCTTGAACACAATAGTAAAAAAGAATTAGCAGAAAGCAGCTTAAAAAGCTCAAAAGTGAATTACCTCACTAGAAGAAGATAATCAACGATTAGAGCGGGACCAACACATGCAATCTTTATATTTTTCTAACTTGCATAATCATTTGGAAAAATTCAGTGATAAAAGAAACAAGCACTCGATTATGTTAAGGAATCAAGTCGAAGAGGTCACTAAAGAAGCCAAAGTTCTTCAAAAACTAAGTTT